TATCCACTGAGATAATGAGGCTAAATAAAGCCAACAGTTCAAGGAACCTGCTTGTGCTGTGAGTCCTCTGGTGTTTAGCTCTGTGTCAAATGGTAGGAACATACAGTATACATTCCACACAGCAAACACCCCAAGTGTTGGTGTAAGCCAAGTGTGGTGCTGTAATAGCTGTTCACTGTAATTTAAAAACAATTATTTCATTTTCCGTTGTCCTTCGCATGGCTGCTGAGTGCCAGTTTAAACGTACAGGCATTTAATGAGTAACCAAACTCTAAAGTTTGTCCTAAAACTTTTATAGATCCGGTTTGTTTTCCACAAATCCACAAACTTTCAAGGATTTCTGAGGCCTCCAGGAAGTGTGTTAATTAGGTTAATTATGTAGGTTTTGGGTTGGCTTCTGCTGGCCTGGCTGTGAGACTGCCCTCAAAGGGGGCGAGGAGAGAATGTGCTGATCAATGTAGAGGTCTGACTTTCAAGAAAAACAGAAGCCTCCCATGTGCTGTACAGTATTATGGGAACAGATACATTTTGCATGTATTGCGTAAGGCCTAAACACTTTCAGATACCTAATTTATTTCTAGACCCACTATAGCCCAGAGTTTATTTAGAACTGAGACATTACAACCTTTACACATAAAGGCTAGTGCACATCCAAACTGGGACTGAGACCTTTGTGTCATTTGTACCTGCTTTATATAGATCAGACAATATGTTGAACACATTTTCCAGCAAATAATGATGGTAACTTAAAAAAAGACAGTTATACCATTCAGAGTATGTCATAAATGTGCATGAATTCAGGTAGTACTTTGAATGTTGAGTTCAGTTAGGAGCCAGAGAAAACTTGTGTATTCAGATTAATAGTGTGTAATTTTACTGGGGAAAATGGGTCTGAAGTAGTGAGAGAAATATGAAGCCACAACACACTGACGTAAGATTAATTCTAATTACTGTAAAGAATACATGTGGACATTACATATCACTGCTGACAGTTGCATCTTTGTATATAAAAAAAAGATTTTTGTAGGTCACTGTGAATAACGTACTGTTCTGTGTCCCAGGTGTCATGCTGACGTGGTTCCACTGGCTGCTGAAATCCTCCAGGAGATCTCGGGATCCTGAACATTTTTCATCTTTAAGACTGACATTTGGAACTTTTTACCACCAGAATTTACAAGATACTTTGGATTGGTAGTCTGTTATTTAGAGTTTCTCTCCATCAACAGGGAACCTGTTTCTGAATAATCTGAAGCTGGAGAAGGTTGTTCTTAGACACTGTCAGTGAGTTCGTACTGTTAGTTTTGGAATAAAATGTACTTAGACATTAGCTATCTACTTAAGTCTCTTGGCCAAGCTTATTAATGGAGACTGAGCTGGAGATATATATATAAATGAGAATGTTACACTGATAAATAGCCTGGGTTTTTGTAGGAACAGGATTGAACATCTGCTGGGACAGTGAATCAGAGCAATCAGTCATGACTTCATTGCATTTGCAAATTGGATCAGACCTTAATAAATATTGCCCTGTCAGTAAAATAAATTGACAGCTTGATCAAAACATCCAATGTCCATCAGCCTCCAGAGAATTAAAGCATGAGAGTTAATTCAGACCGTCACAGGCATCACAGCACTGGCCTCTGGGTTTGTCTAGACGGCTCCAGTCAGGCTACTGGCATCACACTGTGTGATGGCGAATGCAGCTGTGTACAACACCTTGCTCACTACCATCAGCTTTTCTCTGTTCCTTAATGCCATCACACTATGAAAAATGTATTTTATCAGTTGTTTATGATACCACATAGATTAAGATGTCATCTTCTGTACGTTAGCAGCAGTGCCATCGGCAGAGGCAGATGTTATAATAGTATCTGCACAGAAATCCCACCTTTGTGTTTCTATGCCAGTTAGGTCACTGTTGGCTCTGCTACTTATTTTATTGAGCCTAAGTATCTGAAATAGTGATTCCTGGTTGGTTGCACTGTATAAAGAGCACTAATTGGACACTGGGTGTCAGACAGGTGTGCATGCTGTCAGTAAGACTAGGAATGCATCTGTCCTACAAACCTCTGGACACATGGTCACCACTGGAAGGCTTTTAGTTCTGCGCTCCAGGTTCTAAACTCTTATGCAAATCTGACTAAAGCTGTCAAACAGCTGTCACTGTTCAGTTAATATTGTCTCTCAAATGTCACTAACTGCAGTTTGCCTTTGTCACATGAAAATGTGTCAGAGATTACTTTCTCCTTATAGCATGGAATTAAATCTAGTTTTACCAAGTATCATGCATTTAACCACAGGTTAATCATCAGGCTGAATGCTTACTAAGACTGAATACTTAGATATATGGAAACGCATTAAACAGCAAGGTAGGAGACTTTTTGTAAATGTCACCAATATGACCCAGTACAGCTATAACTGTCTTTCTACCATAACCCAGTCATCACTACCTGTCATCTTGCTGTTTAACTGGCCCCCTCCTGTATTTAAGACTGGGGTAGGCAATCCCAGTCCTCTGCCCTGCTGGTTTTCCAACTGTCCCTGCCCTACCCACTGCTGATTACCTGATCAGGTGTGTTCAGTCTCTCAATCAGATGCTGGAAGATGCCATCTTAGATGGTGATATCTTCCTGCTTCTGATTGAGGCAGAGGCCCTTGAGGACCAGCATTGCCCACCCTTGATTTAATGTGTAGTTTGAAATGAGACCGAGGCATCCAGATGAAATGACAGTCCATTTTATTGTTTCAGAACACAGCAGGCTACAGCACCCAGCTCTTCCCACTACCCCACCCTTTAGTAACAGCAGACCAATAAGAAGCCCACCCCCACCCCCAACTTTTGTTAACACCTTTGGAACAGCAGAGACACATAAGTGTCTACCTTTAAAGCAAGAAAATAGCTCAATATTTGGACCATGACTTCCAATTAATTTTTTATACAAAAGCTACACAATGTTACATTGATCATCAGAATACAATTCAACTGTTTAACTTTAGTGTTCGGACACCATTTAAAATGTAATCGGATTCTTAACTTGGATGGAGCATTACCACTAAAAAAACTCTACACTACCAGACTTAAAATACAAGGGAAGGCAAAAAACAAAAGTATGATCATTCAGAATAATGGAAGAAAAAAAAAGCAATATTGAGTCAGGTTGTACCATTTCAGACTTGAGGAAAACGGAATAAAAAAGTAAAACAACCAAAAGCAGTAAAAATGAAAAAATACATAAAAAGGGTTTTTGAAGATTAACCATTCAGAATCCATGTGTCATGTCAGGATTTGAAGTTGGCCCCTCGTCAGGCTGAGAGACCAGAACCAACCCGCACTTAAATGTAGTTTGTCCCAATGGAGTTCCCATAGACAGGAAACCGCTTGCTGTTGAGTCATCTTCAGGCACTTTCTGAAACCCCGCCTCCTCCATATGGGTGAATCACGATGCAGGTTCATCCAGATCACATGATACAGCTATAGAGGAAGGAAACAGAGCACAGGCGTTGGTAAAGACCACACACACATCAAACAGACCACATCACACAGCTCTGCAATTAGGAGCAGTCTGACCATGCAGCAGCCACAGTGAGTAAATCCACTCCCCTCCCCTCAGCCATTTTATGCAGACATAAAACAGACCTGCTGTATTCCTGCTTTTATAACATGCATTTAATTCAGCAAAAGGCTCCAGAGTGAATGTGAGGACATTCTTACCTAGTAGAAAGAGTAGTGTAATGTTGGTCTTGGTATTTACAGGTCGGTATCAAACCAGGCCAGTTGGTTGGAGTCACCAGGTGGCAGGCCCTCTATCAGTTCCTGGGCATGTCCCAGGTCAGGCAGCCCCTCTACAGCGGGGTAGTCCTGGCCAGGGTGGTGACCTCCACCCAGATCATGGTCCATCATGGGCTCCATGCCCATTGTGTCCGCACCATATCCCCCCGAATGGAATGAACGGTAGCTTGGGTCTGGGGGAAGTGGAGGAGTAGCAGGGGAAGCAGAGCAGTTGTTAGAAGCAGGTTAACAAACCAAGCTGTCACACAGTAGTATGATCATTCAAATGCAACACGACACACTGTCCATCTTCAAAGCTACTGCTGAACTCAGTTCACCCTCTAAACCAGACATGGAGAGATGAGAGAGAGCTCAAAGAAGTCCTGAAACCTCCAAGATGACGAGATGCACTTAAAGTATTTTTGTGTCTGCAGATCAGTTTGATTTACTGCATCAAATCAAGCCTTTTATTAAGCATGCCTGTGGTTTAGATGTAGTGCTTAAGTCACGTGATACTACAGAACCAATCACAAGCATGCCAGGCCTGCACACTGGCATAGTGACACGATTGCAGGAAATTTTGATTGATCGCAGGGGGGTTGCAGCACCCTCCACAACAAGCATGCAGCCCACCTTTAATACGCAATCTTGTCATCAGCAGTAATAACAATGGACAGATGGGGCTCAGTTATTGACCAACAGTATTTAGCTATATATCAGCTACATAAGAGGCTAAAGAAGTCCATGGCTTTAGAGAGACCATCAGGACAGGATCACAGACCAGGAAAATAACTGTATACCCAATTAGGAAAAAAACTGAAAAGTTTGTCACAGTCTAACTGCTCTTATTTTCATGACATCCTTGTCCTGTGTTTGTCCTGGGAGCATCCCTGCTAGCCAGAGGTGAGGAGGTCACTCACCTTCCTGTCTGTAGCCCAGAGGCTCTCCCTGAGCTCCGATGTCCAAACCCAGGTCTCCAGTCTGCGGGGCAACACAAAGACAGTCAAGAATGGGAAGGGAGACAGCAGTTTGAATAAGACCACAGGCCTCAATGCACTGACAATTTTGACATAACACCGGCAGCAGGTGTTGTGCATGTTCATGTACCATCATCTCTGGTTTTATTGTTCTGAAACCGCTAATCTAGAGGTAGCCAAAATTAAACATTAAATGGCCGGAAATGAGCAAAATGAGCATGCCATGGGCACTTTAAGGTCTAAAAATCAGACTTTATAGACTCACAGAAGCCCCAACCATACCTCATTCCAGGCCATTGGTTCCGTCCTGAAGAGTGAGCTGGTAAGTTCTACAGAGAGGCGTTTCTTGTAGTCTTGGGGTTTGTCCTCCGACATGCGGAACAAAACTGCTGCAGCGTATGTGGCTGAGGGAAGATGGAGGGTTTTACAGGTTAGTCTGCCTACTGATGCATCGAGTTGTGTGTAAAAAAACAAAAAAAAACAAACAAACTACAAATAGAGCAATAATACAACTATCACAGAGGACAGACATGTAAGAGGTCAGATATTACTGTGACGGCAATGACGATATTAATGCTGCTTCACTTATTTACCATCAGTAAAGTCCCCATCACATTACAGAGTTAGCAAACAGAGAAATGGTAGCCACTCATTTCTATGACTGTACTGACACCTGCACAGTGAACAATGACAATGTGTAAATCAATGTGCTGTGTACATACCGACTCCCTCATTGCGGCTGTGCAACAGCTCTGTGAGTGGGGCAGTGGCTCCCTCAGCCTCAATGGCCTCAGCAGCCTCTTTGTCCTGGGCCAGCTCACACAGGACGCCTGCAGCAACGCGCTGGATATTCTCAATGGGAGAATACAATAGCTACACATAAACAGACAGGGTGCTTAGAAAAACATGTCCAGTATTCTGCTGCACAATATGATCTACAAAGTAACAAGCTGAGCCTCACACATATGCACAACAGTGGTAGGATAAATGTTATGCACCACCATTTGTATCTACCTGGAACAGCCGCATTTGGAATTAATTTTCAAACTCTCAATGTGACATTTACTGAGATCAATTTTCCCTATTTAACCCTAGACTACTTCAATGCATTACTAACATTTCTTGAAATCTTGACAAAATTATAGTTCAGGATCAACACTGCTATCTGGGCTCACTAAATGTGCTGGTATGATGACAGCATGATAACAAGTACAAGAAGAGCAAAACTAAACTGAAGACATACCTGTACAAAGAGTGGAATGGTGTTGAGTCCTCTGATGACTATTCTGTTGTGTACATCTCTGGCAAGGATGTGAAGTGCTCCTGTGCAGCCCTCAACGATCTCCTCCATACGAACGCCCTCCTAAAAACACACACTCAGAAATGTTAAAACTGCAGGAACTAGGACTCTTAAAATGAGCAGGTAGTGTTTGATCCATCGTTGATATCATGCGGTCATCTTACAGTGTCACTGGTCTATACTAAATCTGACATCAGTTCTGGGGTCATGTATATGTATACTTATACACACTCACACAAAAATTTAAAGAAGGACAGCATGGCATGGCATGGCCCTCCCCCCCATATGCTGTACTGCCGTTTGTTGTGGAGGGATGCGTGTGTACTCACCACAAACTGCTGCTGTGTGCCTCCCATGCTGGTGCGTCTCTGTGTGTCTTGGTGTGCTCTGACCAGCAGCTGAACCAGTCTGGGGATGGCTCCCTGCTCCCTCAGGGGAGCATGGTTTGCAGGGCACAACGCCAGATTACGGATCAGACCAACTGTAGCCTGATGGAGGAACACGGTCACATGTCATCACATATAGATTTGTGTTCACAAGATTAAAAAAGGCACTGCTCCTTGACAGTTTTTCATTTGAAAAGTCATTCCCTCTGACAGTGTGCTTGTAATTTGGCACTAGTTGTGTCTCATTCAGAAAGAATAACAAAACTGTACCGATGCTTATTTTTGGTGTCCATCAGTACAAATACACTACAGTTTTTTCCAGATGTGTTATGGCAGAGACACACTAAGCCCACATGAAATAAATAGCACCAACGAAGGCCAACTGCTGCATTGCCTCATGTTGGGTTTGTCTGGGTCAGCCGAGTTGAAAAAGTGAAACTTGAACACACCACACAAACTACAGCCAACAAGGCACACATGTTCTGCACCTGCATGACCCCTTCTCACAGGTGGCGTTATCTGTATTTGCCATTTAGAAAGGGTAAGAGGAAGAGCTAGGCTACGGAAGTATAAGCTATAAGCACCTCTTGTTCAAAACGGCTGCTGTTTGTAGCTGCTTCTAATTGAGAATATGTCTGATAAGAAGCTGCAAATGTCAAGAAAGGAGGCTGTGGAGGCCAAAAACGGCACTAAATGGGTGAAATCACAGATACTACTGTGACAGGTTGAAGGGGCTTTTCCTGAACTGTTCTCCTCATGTGCATTGATTTGCTAAGCCCAACAGCAAAATCAGTCTCTCTCTCTCTCTCTCACCGCCAAGGGCCGACATCTATTCAACATGTCAAATC